ACAATAAAATAAAATATGATCTACTTTACTTACCCAAATTATATTTATATTAGATTTCCTATTAACCACTAAATAAAATGGGATATATATTCTGTGTTACTCAAGTAAATATATAAGAACAATTTATATGGAGTTTTCAACTCATACTGTGAATTTGTTACATTTATCTTTTAAGAATTGAGGATGGAATTACAGTTTTTTACTAACAAATACAGGTGTCATGCAGTTGTGTTGCTATGGTTCAGTAAAAATGCTTCCTTTCATTCTTGTGTCTGTGCACTAATTCTATTTTATGATTGTCTTCAGGAATAAATTCGTGGAGTTTGACATGAAACCCGTCTGTAAGAAGTGCTATGAGAAATTCCCGCTGGAGCTGAAGAAAAGGCTGAAGAAGTTAGCCGAGACTTTAGGCCGGAAGTAACCCGCCCCGCTCTGGCCTCCGCGCGGCGCCCTGCGCCCTCCCCGAGCAGGTGGGCGGCGGCCAGTTTTCTTTACTCCCTTTTCTCATTAAGGAAATTTAAAAGCCCCAAAAAGTTAAATGTAACTTCAAAGTTAAAAGGAGTCAGCCTTTACCTGACTCTGATGTTTTCTAAGCGTAACAATGCTTTACTTTGTATTCAAAAGAAAACTACTTCTGGTTGCTGTTGGGGAAGATGCAGGGGTACAGCCAAACTACTAGTTCTCAAATAACATCACTACAAGACCAGTGTACTCAGAACTACCTGGTGTTATTTTTGTTAAATGCAGCAATTATTGAGCTTATTTTTTATTGTGTAAGCTTCCTTCATACAATTACTGAACAGTTAACGGTAGCTAGCTAATAGTATGTCTCTTTAAATTTTGTTTAAAATATATTAAGTATCTAAAACTACAGCATTCTTTTACATTATTGGGAAAGTGAAGTATTGTTAAGTGTAATACAAAAACTATGCCTCTGAGCTGATATCGAACTTGTAGCCTTTGGGACGTGGAATTAAATATTACTTAGCTTGGAATGTATAGCTTTAAAAAGTGGATTTGTATGCATTGGTCATACTGCCTTTGTAGCTGCACTAATACCTAAGTTTTATACATAGTCAGACTTGCTTTGCCTTAAAAAATGCATCCCTAGGGCTGGGAAGATGGCTCAGTAGAATAAGGGCTTCCCTGGCAGGCGCAGGGTCCTGAGTTCAATCCCCGGTACTGCAAAAAAGAAAAATACATCCCTTATTCAGGACTCCTGGCTCTCACTTAATCCTGGATACAGAGCTGTGACAGGCTGAGGCTGATGAAGCCAAGCACACGGACTATAGATTCATTGCATTTTTAAAACTTTTCACCTTTTAGGGAAAACTATTAAAATTAATTCTTACTATCTTCCTAGAAGAGAATATTTTGACATGTGTTGGAGGTTTTTCTGCTTAAATCTCAGTTAATTGGATTTTGTTTACTGGGAGTAGGAGATATAAATGGTATGTTCAAATTACTTTGATTGTTTGTTGGTTGGTTTTCTTGGTATCTTTAAATTGGAAGAGGGCTATTTTAATGTCATTGGAAACATCAGTTTTAGGTTAAAATTAGTATTGTCCCATTTCGTAAAGGCTTCGTCTTGAAGTACCGGGCCACTCTTTCTGGGTAAACTTGTTGCTCAAAGCTTTACAAACATTATTTAACTGTTGCTGCTGCTGTGCTGTCCTTTAAAAAGAAAGTTGCCACATAGATTTCTGGGAGGAAAGTGATTTTTTTTATTTCCAGCATTGTTTTATCATAAAGAATATCTCAGGATGGTCCAGTCACACTTTTATGCATAAATTCTGAAAACTTGATCATGCACATTGTAGAATAAATTGTTTCTGTGTTTAGATAACTTATGAACAATTTATTTTAGAGTTAAAGTAATTATAAATGATTGTAAGTACTCACTGCGTAGTTGAGACTGTGTGCTCAGTAGTTGAAAGCAGTCTGTGCATTGACAAGAAGGATCGGAGCCTTCCAGGAGCCTTCGAGATCGCAGTGAGCAGCAGCGACGTGGGCGTCACCAGCAGGACCCCGCACACCCACGCGGGCGGGGAAGGCCCTTGTGCAGGCTGCGGCTGCTGAGTGCCAGTGACGCCCGCCAAGATGCGGAGCCGGAAAGCTCACACTGCCGCCTCCTGTCCCCGAGGCTGCGTGACCCGCGGCCACTGGCCACCATGGTCTCACAGGGCGTGGCTGGGTCCCCTCCTGCAGCAGAGGGCCTGCGGCTGGCCAGGCCTGCGCCAGAGGCCTCTAGCCAGGAACACCACACGTGCTTCCGTGGTGGGCACCGCAGAGCTGCATGCGCAAGCAAGCAGACGCGAAGTGCAAAGTGCACGGGACACAGGCTGGCCCGCAGCTCCCAGACCTGCGGCTGAAGCACTCTGCCATCCGCAGGCCCTGCCGTCCGCTGAACCCACCCCTGCGCCCATGGATTTCCACGTGCGTTTTCCTGGGGGAGCCTGTGTCGTGGGGGTGACCGATGCGGGTGGATCTTCCTGGGGTCGTGTTCAAAGCTGTAGCACTGTACCTGTTTGTGTCGCTTCGCCCCCTCCATACTTGCCAAAGTAGCCATTTCTAAGTGAAGACAGTGTTGCAGCAGGCTGATGCCCACGTGTGTTCCAGTAGTGGCGGGGAACTTGCCGATTTCTTTCTGCATAGTAGCCATTGCAGTATATCTTTGCTTTTTTTTTTTTTGGCGGAACCAGGGATTGAACTCAGGCCCTGCGCTTGCCAGGGAAGCGCTTATTCCACTGAGCCATCTCCCCGGCCCCTGCAGTTTATCTTTGGTGCTTAATAAATCTGTATAACTCAATAATAAGCTGTTGTATGTCATTTAATTGGGATGCTTTGTGTAGGTGAAGAATATGGAGAAAATGTCTCTAAAGTATAATGGAACACGAACGTGAATAATCCAAATGAGCGAGTCCTGCACCACCTGGACTAGCGGTGGCTCGCCGCTTTGGCATTTTGGTTTTTGAGAGTAGGGTCTCGCTGTGTGCTGCAGGCTGCTCTTGCGCTCTGTGTCACCAAGCTGGCCTTGAACTCAAGGGTCCTGCAGCCTCAGCCCCCGAGCACTGGGGTTGCAGGCATGCACCTGTAACGCAGAGGCGTGCAGCACAGGCCGAGGAAGTGGGTATCGGGAGGGCACCCCAACCCACATGAGGCCGGGCGGCACCTCCTGAGCAGGAGCCCGGGTGGACCCCGTGTCCCTCTTCACACAGGCTTTGGGGACCGTGGTAGCCGGCAGGAGCGGCTGGCCGTGCTGCTCTTGACCCTTCATCATCCTCCAAAACCAACCCAGCCACAGCAAAGAAGTGGCATACGGAAGAGATGGGTGCTGTGGACCATGGCTCCCTTTGTCCATAACACAGCCATTGTCTGCACCTGGGCCAGGGCCACTTGCACTGGACTACAGGGAACAAAAGCTTGCTGAACACAAGCCTTGTGACACCAGACCATGGGTCTAGACTTGGAGAGCCAGGAAGATCCATGTCCCACCCTGGGAGGAGTGAGCCAAGTGAGGCGCATCTCCTGGCCAGCAAGACAGGGAAGGGGTGATAGCACCGCAGGCCCAGTCGGTGCTGAATGGAGTGCTGGAGTAGACAGCCCAGAAGCCTGAGCATGGCCCTGCATGGACGCACACAAAGTGGTATGCCCAGGGTCTGGTCTCCACACAGTTGTGCTTCCTGGCTAGAGCCGGGCCCCATCCCCCTGAAGCACCAGGTTCCTTCCTTCCTAGCTCAGAACTCCGCATCTTCACCAGATGCTCCACATTCCTAGGCATGGGACAGATGAGGCCTGAGCTGAGGCTGAGGTTCTGGGTGGTGGGAGTGAGCAAGGCCTTAGTGCACACATCGGAGCAAAGGCCCACCCAAGTGCAAGGTGGCGCTGGGGAGCCGGCCCAGGGCACGTGGGGAACTTGGCGGTGCTGTTTCCCTGGTGTCCTGAGCAGAGCTTCAGTCTCCTCCAGCCCCTGCCCCCTGCACAGGGCATTCACTGCCCACACCTTCCTCAGCCCTGCCATTCTCAGCATCACTGTCCGGCACTGCCAGAGTGATCAAACTTTTGTATCAGACAGGCAAAAGGAACATGGCGCCCCTCCCAGCTGAGCCGGGCAGCCTGGTTGAAGCCACCTCAGCACAGCAGACTTTGGCCAGAGGTGCACACAGCAAACCTGTACTGCAGCCTTGCCCAGAGCAGGAAAGGGCAACAGGGCCCTGATGCCTCCCTCAGGACCAGAGGACCGGCCAGGGACTCCCGCCAGGCTGCAGGCCTCCTGGGACCCAGACAGCCTTGAGGGGGAGGCACAGGAAGCAGGAGAGCCACGGCGGAGGGCCCTCTGTGCCTGGATATCCCCAGGCTGGCTTCCTGGGGTGTCCAATGTCAGTGCCCAGCCCAGAGGGTTGCAAGCGGAGGGGAGCTGGGCCACTCTGGTGGAGCAGAACTGTACTGCCGCTGGCTTGGACCCTCCTGAGTACCCACCAAAGAGCTGACGGGGTGCAGCCCAGTGCAGGGGGCAGCCTGGCACGTAGGAGTCCTGGCTTCCAGCCCTAGCCCACCAAAGAGCTGGGATGGGGTGCAGCCCTGTGCAGGGGGCAGCCTGGCATGCAGCCCCAGCAGTGCAAGAGCGGCTGCACAATGGACAGTCTCTGAGGTCCACCTCCCACGAGGTCTCAGAAACAGCTTGCCCCACGGGCCACAGTGCGGAGCCCCCAGCTTGGGTTTGCCCCATTTTGTTGAGGACTTTTTCAAGCATGTCTACAAAGAATTTTGGTCTGTAGTTTCTGCCATCCTTTTTTGGCTCTAGATTTAAGTAATACTTTTTTCTGGAACCAGAGATTGAACTCAGGCCCATGCTCTTGCCAGGGAAGCTTACTCCACTGAGCCACCTCCTCGGCCCTTAAGTAATACTTTTATTATAAAATGAGGAACTGTTCTTGGCGCTTGTTTTCTTGTTTGTTTTGTTTTGTTTTTAGGCAGAGTATCACCATGTAGTGCAGGCTGGCCTCGAACTTGCTGCAGTTGCCAGAGAAAAGAATAAACTTTTCAGCAAGTAGAGCTCAGGCCCCGAACGACTGCAGTGGCAGAGGGCGGGGAGCGTGGCTCAGGTGGAGCATGTGTTTGCGTGCGCTTCGTACGGTGCTATGGGGAAAAAAGAAAACACATACAGATCTGTATAGCAGCTGCATTAGTAACCACCAAGAAGTGGTAAAACCCCGAAATGCCCACACCTGCTGAGGGCCGATGCTACTCAGCAGCGCGCCATAAGCCCTGCTGCGGGGTGTTTGGAAGGCACTACCCGGGTCAAAGCCCGCATGGCGCATGCCCCTACCTGCATGGTGTACCAGAGAGATAGACCAGCAGCAAGGAATCGTGACAGGACCCCGCAGTTGGTACCTGGACTGGTGCCCTAGCTGTGGTAGCGGTTTTAAAAACCCATAACTCTCGTTTTTTTTGTTTTGTTTTGGTTTTGATTTTTGGTGGAACCGCGGCTTGAACTCCGACTCAAGAGCTTGCAGAGCAAGCGCTTAAAACAGCTCTGTATGTAAGTTGATTTTCTTGTGTATCTGTTAACTTGCTTAAAATCCGTGACACAGGGCCAGCGAGACAGCTCAGCGGACTAAGCACCTGCATGACACGCTCAAGGACCCGGGTCCAGCCCCGCACCACAGGCTGCGCCAGCCCTGCCTCAGAGTGCGCTGACCCGGCGACCGAGGCCGAGTACGGCGGCGCACGCCTGTAATCCCAGCGCTGCGGAGGCTGCAAACAGAAGGATCCCTAGAGTTTGAGCTGCGCAGTGAGACCATGTACCAAATACATAGAAATAAAAGCTCTGTACCACAGTACACCTCCAAA